ATTTAATATCTCCAGCTTCTGGAACGCACTCAGCGGCAGCGTTGGCACCGCCAGACGCTGTCTATCAAAGCGCCATTTGTTCCAGTGCTTTACATATTTCCCTTCTCGCCTTCCCCCCTCCTTGCAATCCTGAATGTGGGTTTGTTGGGGACGGCAGGACCGGAGTCAGGAGCGGGGCGACCGGGGCCTGGGGGCTTGCAGTGATCCCCGCTCCGCACCCCCCGCCAGCCCTCCCTAGGGCAGGCAGCTCCTGAATCAACTTCAACCTACGTGCGCAGGGGTAGATCTCCCCGCAAATGGATCTTGCGGCGGATTTCCACGAGCCCACACGCCCTTTTCCATAGGGAAGGGCGGAGGGGAAGGGCGAGGCGGAGGGGAGGGACCCCGGCCTCTGCGGGTCCTGGGGAGGGACCGGGACGGGGAAGAGTTTTCCAACCCTCTCCCCACCATAAACCCTGACACCTTATCAATACAGATCTCTAACGAGGGCCCTTCTGCAGCTCGTAATGACTTCCCAAAGTTGCTGCAGGTCTAGGAAGCATGCCAGTCACAGCCGCAGATCAATTCTACACCCACGGAAAGTGACTTAATAAATGGAAGCTCGCCAGTTATTATCCTCGCTAACAGCAGGGCCCTTCGGATTTGTCCTAATTAGCACGACTGAAATGTCGGAGGAAAGAAGGGGAATATTCAATAAAATTTAAATTATTGAATGACTGTAAGATTTCGCCATTAGTTCAGCCATTCTTTACCTTCTTCAAAATGTCAAACAAATGGGGAATGCGTATTTGCAACCTTGCCCTTCTGTTCTGTGCAACTGGAGGGCATATATTAAGCATATTAAGCGGATTCAGCCCTTGATCGTTGTCAAAACACTGCAATTGCCTCACGATTATTAACCTCGGAGTATGCAAATGAGGCGCGCTCGCACGGGTTGTAGGGATGCTAAAAGTAATATTTATCTTGCGCTGATCTAGTCTGGGGATGTGTTTGCTAAAGAGCTACTTGAAGCCCTGAGGAGGTTAAACCCATCCGGGAAGGGTGGAAACCGGTGAAGAGGATGGGTGAGGTGGGAAGAGTTAAATTCTCCCGGGAATCTCCCGACCTTCCTCACGAGCTGCCAGTGCCAAGCTCCGGCTTTCCGGGAATATCCCCCCTGGGACCGCTTTCCCAGCTGAGTTCTAACATCCTTTCCTCGTCCTCAGGGAGAGGGGACCTTCTGCTCGCCGGCCTGGCACCTCCCGCATCCATCCCAGTTATGCCGGGTATTATTTTTTTCCTCTTGGAAAAGGAAAATAGGGAGTGGTGGGTTCGGAGAAACTAGCTTAAGAAGCGCTGGACTTGGGGCAGGTGAATCTAGCCCTCATCACGGAAGGATACAGTTCAAACTAACGCTGGTTGGGGTGAGCAACGCTGCCCTACTATTAACATAATTGATGAGGTAGTTAATAAATTCATGCTCTTGTTAAAGGGCAGGTTTAGGTGGAGCTGGCCCAGGCCGAGTCTGCCGGGTGCTGGATCTGAAGGAAACCCGTGACTGTGGAATCCCCTGCGTCGGTCCGACCCTGGCCCTGTACCCCCCGGACTAAGCGTCCCTCGAGGACGCTGAGCTGAGCTCTCAAGGAGCCGGGAGAGGGGCTGGTCTGGGGTGAGAAGCCAGGTCCAGAGCTGTCCCATCCATTCCCACCCAGCAGAAAGGCTTAAAGGAATCTCATCAGCGAGACACACTTCTGCCCCGGGGACCACATAGAAACACCCGATACCAGGTCCCCAGAGCCGTCAGAGAAGGAATTTTGTTTGCCCGGGAGAGGCAGAAAGAACTTTTCTATCTTATCTTAATTGTCCCCTCTTTATTATATAGCTCGGAGATAGCCCCGTGCTTGTAACTCATTAAAAGGCTCTCCTGCTTTTCTTTGGACTCCCAAACTCTGGAGCATTTTTCCATGTACTGTTTGCTTTTCCCTCTTCAGTTTTTAGTCCCAAATATAGCTTAGCAGGCTATGATCTAACCAAGACACATGCCGGGGCTATAAATTTCTCTGACAATTCCAAGGGCCAAGTCCTTTTTGGTGCTAACGATGCCCGCAGCCAACCACGCACCCCCAGCGCCAGCAGCGCTTCCTATAAATCAACCCACCAGGAGCCAGAAGTGACACTTCTTAACGCACGACACAAACTTTCTCTGCAGAGGGTTATATTTAACTCCAAAACGAAACGTCTGAAGACTCTGAGCACCCTGGAGCCTTTGGAAATGCCTCATTCCTTCTGTGTCACCTACAACAGAAAACTTCCCTGTCTGTCGCGGGTAAAGATTTCCTTAAGGAGTGTTCCCACACAGCATCACCAAAAGAGGACACCCGTGGTTTAGGGGGTAGGAATAACCGCTGTCTCCCCCCAAGACATGAGTGAAAATCAAGTAATAAATACGATGAAAACAAAGGAAGTATTTGAGGGATATAGGACAGATAATTTGGGAATCGCCACCTTTTCTTTGCCCACCTTCCCTCTCTCAACTGGCCAAAAATGAGGTTTTAAAGAAATAAATGCAGTAGTGAAAGAATTCCGCTCCTCCGGCGCCTGGTTGTTAACGATAATCTGAGTTTCCTTTCTCCTGCGTGTTAGGAGGGTCTGTACCGAAAAGGGGTCCTACACGTCCTGCACAAGGGGAATTAAACCCAGTCACGGTAACAGCGGTGATTTCCTTTCGCATCCAGGGCAAGGGGAAGAGAAGGGAATTTGGAAACGGGCTTCCCACTGCGACTGCACGCACGTTGGTGCTGCGGGTTTCCAAAACACCGGGCAGTCGCCACCAGCCATGCACTTGTGGGGAATAACAGCACTTTGGGGGCCCAGCTTGCGCCGCAGCCCTGCCCGCGTCTGTCAGCCTGGCAGCCTCGTGGGGGGACCCAGCATCTTCCGTCCCGGCGCACCCCGAGACCTGCCCTGTGTGGTACTGCCCGGGCTCCCCAGGCAGGAAAGAGAGACGGGGGAGAGGTAGCGGCCCCTTCGCTTGAGGACACGGCTCCGCACCCCATCCTTCGTGATCCTACAGGTACCTTCGCAGCGGGAGAAAAGAGCCTTTGCCAGGGTGACCACGCACCTCCCCTGCTCGGCTCCATCCCCGTTCCTGCAGCCCGGACCCTGATCCGCTCCCCCGGGTCAGCGGTTCAGCTGCTTTTCATAGCTAAAATCATGATCCCACCTTAACCGAGCGTTCCATCTACCAGAGAAACTCCGTGCTCTCACCTCAGAGCTGCCTCAGCTCTGAACTCGGGTTACCCTTCGCTGAAAGTAGATGTAGAGCAGAACTTTCCCCTCCAGAACTCCACAGCAGCGAGTTCCCTCCCAGGGTACAGCTGTATTTTAAGGACATAAACCATCTCTTTAATGCAGCAGTGGAGTGAGATCACGGTGGAAAATGAACAGACAACACGAAACAATGGATTCAAGGACGGAATAAACATCTATCCTTTTCTTTCCTTTAACTTTACGCCCATTAATCATCTATTAGAAGCATCGCTTAAACGGAATACATTCATTTAAACGCGAGTGCAACGTAATACAAAACCCACTTTTGGAATCAAATTAGAAGTGGATTTCTCTTGCAAGGGAAAAGACATAAGAGTCGCTTTGAATCTTGATAGTCACTTTCGGTTGGTTACACCCCAAAATTTCCCTCTTGTACACCTCAGCATCAGCAAAGATGCAGAGGAGAGGAAGAGATGAATAAATCCGCACGCAGCTCTGGAAATAGTTTTCTCGTTACTCTTTTTATTGAAGGACGAGGGTTGCAATTGGCCACAGCTCACGAAGGGGGGGGGGAGGCTGAGGGAGGGAGGGTGATGCTATGGCTGCCTGGGTTGTAGTTTCTTAACAAATGTTACCCAACGTGTTGCATCAGCCAAACCTACCAACTCCAGGACGTGTTTGTGCTGCCCGAAGTGAACTTTTGGCCTGGGGGAGAGAAGAAAAAGAGCCCTCCTGGTTCTTCTTCGAGGCTGAGTAACCAGTAAATATCCTGACAAGTAACAAATGGCTGTGGGCGTCATATTGTTGGGTGCTCTTGTCTCCCTTCTGCTAACAAGTAAATAAATGTTGCCTACCTATGTTTCCATTCTTTGAGCAGTTGAGTGGCCGGCCCGAAGTCAGTGTCTTTCCACCTACTCATCAACTGGACCCTGTCAGGGGAAATCTCTGCTCTGGCAGCAGATTTGGGGAAAGGTTAATCAGGTTTGCCCTGGAAAAGCAGATTTTAATGGTCCAGAGTCGGGTATAGCCCTTAAGACACCGTTTGTTTTCAGTATAAAGTGTGTGGGTGCACGGGAGGAGGGATGGAGAGGAAGATAACAGATAGACGCATGGATCATTTTTAGTTCTATTCCTCTAATTGTAAAGCTGGGCATGCTATGTCTCCAACAAAAGACATTCTGTCTTCCTAACTTTATTTCACCCCCTCATTAGAATATTGATTTAATTACATCGCTTTTACCCACACTGGCCCTAGACACAAAGCCGGGCTGGCAAAACTCAAACACATGAAGCGCTATTTTCCTTAGGAGATTTTATTGCACGACTCAGCCCAGAAAAGGCCAAACGTGTCTAAACCACTTCCTAGGGGGAAGTTTGGAAGTGAAGAAGAAAGCATCCTTCCGGGCTGGGAGCAGAGCAGCCGGCCCTCGCCACCTCTTTTCCCTCTGTCCTTTTTATCCTGACACAGACCTAGGGTTGAGGAAAACCTTTTTAAGTTGGGGCCAGGGGACGTTCTGCTGAAATTGGTTTATCCCACAACTTGAGGGCTTTTTTAGCACTTAAAACAGTCGTGGATGATCCTAGCTCTTCCCCCAGCCCCTCTTCCCCTCTACCTCCCCGCACCCCACTTCCCTCCTCTCCTTTAAAGTCTTTGAGGAAAGATTTTGACGTATTCGTGTTGTTATCAGATTGATGGGCAGGGTTTGATTGAAACCCCTTTGTCATGCAAATGTCAGGGCCTTGATGGATGAGCTCAGAGCCGTGACAAACTTCAGGAGCCCCTCGCTCATTGGGCTGGGCCGCCCCCCGGGGCCGCCCCCCCTGCCCCGCCGCGGGCTGCGGGCTCCGAGGGCCAGCGCTGCATGGAAGGAAGTTTTACAGCTTTGACATACTATCTAAAGGTTGTAGGGCAGGCGGAATCCCCCCCAAAACAGGCTGACCCTCCTCCATCAGTGGCAGATGGACAATACTAGGATGAACTCCTTCTTAGAGTATGCAATTTGTAACCGTGGGACGGGCGCCTACCACCACTTGGAGCAAAGCTCCCCATCCTTCCCCCCTTGCTCAGGTAGCCCCGGCAGGGACACTTTCAGCGGGGACGGGCGCTTTGGCACAGGAGGGAGCGCGGCCGCGGCTCCCCATCTACCCCAGCCCAGCCCCGGCTGCCGCCCTCCCTCCTCCGGGCGCTCCGGCCCCGCGGCGGGCGCTGCCCCCGCCGGGTTCCCGGCCCAGCATTGCGGCCCCAGCTACGGGCACCACCAGCTCTTCCCCGGGCAGCAGGACGCCGAGGGTGTCTACTTCCAGGCGGCCGGGTACTGCTCCAACGCGGGACCCAGCCTCAGCTCCCTCGCAGAGAGCTACTGCGGGGTTGTGCCGGCCCCCGGGCCGTACCAGCCGCAACACCTTTACGGGCAGGAGCAGCCCGGTTACTTGCCCGCCGTTTACAGCAACCTCTCTCCTGCTTTAAACGAGGACAAAGACCCTGCGTGTCCCCCTGAGCCGTGCCCCAACGCCGGCGCCACGCAGACCTTCGACTGGATGAGGGTGAAGAGGAACCCACCCAAGACAGGTGAGTTTGGGGAGCACAGAACCGGGAGGGGGGGAGCGGGTTGCAGCTTGGTCGGGAAGGGGTGGCCTTCCTCGGGTGTGGGCCCAGGGAGCTGTGCTTGTTGTCCAGGGGACGGTTTGCTTTGGGGTTTGGTGGTGGGTTTTGGGTTAACACCAGCTTGGCGCTGTGAAAAGCCAGATAGAGATTGCCCAGACATATCTGAAGGGAGGGTCCCTGAGCTAAGTTTCCCGTAGGCCTAATGCTATTTAAGCCCAGCTCGGAATAGGAAACGCACCAGGCTTCCTGCTTCTTTCCACAGCCGTGGCTTCCATTTCCCCTATTGTTCAACTTCCGTCTCCCCAGTCTTCCTTAAACCACATCCTTTCCTCCTCCTCCTCCCCACATCATGATCCTTGCCCTCCCACTTCACCCCACGCACGTTCAGGTGTCACGGCAAAGTGCAGGGAACTGGAGGGAAGGGCTCCAAGGGAAGGGGACAGCTCTGTGAGCCTGGGTCCATCCTTTCGGGTCGGAGGCCGGGGGTGCCGGCCAAGGGACCGGGAGGATGCTCAGGAATCGCCCTGGCTGCTCCTGCCCTGCTCCTCTTTGCTCGTCCACAGCTAAAGCGGCGGAGTACGGACTCCTGGGCCAGCCCAACACCATCCGCACCAACTTCAGCACCAAGCAGCTAACGGAGCTGGAGAAGGAGTTTCACTTCAACAAGTACCTCACCCGGGCGCGGAGGGTGGAGATCGCCGCCACCCTGGAGCTCAACGAAACTCAGGTCAAGATCTGGTTCCAGAACAGGCGGATGAAGCAGAAGAAGAGGGAAAAGGAAGGTCTTGCCCCGGCCACTGCCCCCAGGTCTGCGAAGGAGGCGGGTGAAGCCTCGGACCAGTCCACCTGCACCTCCCCCGAGGCCTCCCCCGGCTCCGTGTCCTCCTGAGGGGCAGCTCTCCCCGCAGCTCCCGCAGGCTTCCACGCTCGGCGGGGCCCGGCCGCACACACGCGTCGGGCCGGCCCCCCTCTCCCACTCGAGTTTCTCTTCCTTAATTTATAGACCCCTGTAAAACCACCGGCCCCCGACGGAGCAGCCGGGTCCTCGTACACCCCAGCAAGAGGCGTTTGTCTCAGGGATGTTCCTCCTCTCCCTTTCCCCTTCCCTATAGGAACTGCACTTTCAACTGCACAAACTTTAAAACGAATTTAGTTTTCTCCCGTTTTTAAAAACGAGCACAACGACTTTCGCCTGCAAGAGCCCTGCTTTTGATACGGTTTTCCTACTTGTAAAAAGGTTTTGGGCATTTATTTCTTTCCTTTACATTTCCTGTATGTATATGTCGGAACGGGATCTGAGGAGCCCAGGACGCCGCTGGCCTCTGCACAGACCCCCGCATCTCTCAAACCCCGCAGTTCCCCTGCTGCCGTTTTGCACTATTTCTGCTTTACAGGGTTTTTGTACACGCTTTGCGACTGGCACTGACTTGGGTTGTGCCATCAGGGGAGCGGGACGAGGTGCAGGCTGGCCTCGGGGTGCTCTGGGCACCGGTCGCTGTCGCAGGAGGTGTCGGCGACAAGGCTGGGGGGGCCGCGGGGCTCGGCTCCCCTCACTGGCTGCTATTTATTGTACGTCTCGATAGCCCCAAGCCTTGGAGCGAGGAGCGCGGCTCCATGTGCCCCCATCTCTTTAGGCTTATCGGAGTCCGATAAAAACGTTATTGACCCATGGTTGAATTGTTTCCCTTACCCACGAGAAATTTTAGGGTAGGACGAACTGAAAAACAAGGCGACTTTTGTTAAAGATTGTTTTGAAGGGAAAAAAAAACCCAACCGTCATCGAGAAAAACCAGCGGTTTCTTAATCGGAATCTCCCGTTTCCCTTCCACTCCCTTCCCCGCGCTCTGTATCTCGAAATGGAACTACCTCAGCCGAATAAAGTTTACTTTTCCCACATGCCAGTCCCCTCCACTTGGTGCGAAATGGAAACCTCTCCTATCCAGGGACCTGCAAGACACGGGGCGGGGGGTGTCCGGGCTCGGCGGGAGGAGGAGGAGGAGGAAGGGAAAGGTCTCCTGCTGCTGGCAAAGCTCCCGAACAAACCGATTACTCTCCCAGCAGGCCCTCCTTACCCCGCTCCCCCCGCCAGGGACGGTCAGGATCGGGCCCGAGTGGCCCAGAAGGGACCGGAGGAAAACCGCGGCTCTTTCCCACCCGAGGGCAGGGTGCGGAGGGACGGGGCCCTTGGGCGGGCAGAGCCGAGCGGGGCCGGCGCCCGGGTTTAGCTCTGACCTTTTTACCTCGAAACGCCTCTGGGATTTCCAAACAAGCAAACAGAGGAGCTGCCAGGAGAAGCCATTGTCCTGGCTTGGTCAGATTTGCAAACCTTTGCTGGGGGCTGTGAGTGGGGCAAGGAGTGAGCGAGGAACCTGCTGCGGCCGCAGCCCGGCGGTCCCTCCCCATCCTCACACCGCTCCTCCGCCAAAGAGCGACTTTGGAGCGTTCAATTCGCTCAGAGACAAGGAAAAATGAAAAAGGAAGGGGTGAAAAGGTGAAAAAGGGATTTGTTACGTTAGCGGTTTGCAAAAATAGCAGGAGAGGGAATAAAAAGCACCAGCAGCCAGACTGACTCCATAACCTGTTGGGTGTGAGTCGGCTCGGGTTAACCTGGTCGGTTTGGCTTTGGTGAGCCCCTGGTACCCGAGCTGTCCCATGGACACACGGCACCGCGCTTTCGGGTCCCTCCGGGCCCGGTGAGGAGGGCAGCACCGCCCGGGGGGGTTTGGCCGGAGGAGAGAGAAAGGCCGGCAGAGAAAAGGGGGTTCGGACGTGTCAGTGTGTCGGGCACAACAAAGGCTCCCGGCTCCCATTTGAAACTCAAAGGGACTCTCCGGAAGAGTCCGCAGAGACGGTGCGGATTCGCCCTTACATATGTAACCCCCCCCGGGCTCCCCTCAGCCCTTCCCCTGCCCCCTCCCTGCCCAGCCATCACCGCACACAGCTCAGTCCCCCCCTTCCCCGCTCTCCCTCCGAGGTTCTCACGGTCCCTTTTGTCTCAGGGGCCCGCAGCCCACCGCTGGGACGCAGGAGCCAGCGGAAGGTGCCCCCGGGACACCCGCGGCTGGGGGTCCCTCGCCCCGGTGCTTCAGTACCCACACAGGTACCGAGGTGTCCATAGGGGACCTGAACCGTGGCACGCTGCACAGGCTGCACAGGAGGAGGCCCAGAGGAGCCTTTGCAGACCTGCACGCAAAGTCCTCCCCGAGACTCAGCCCGGTTGCTTTAGTTGGGCTTCATCACAAATATGAGGCCGGCACACACTCCTTTGGTTTATAGAAATGATACAAACCAGCACCATTATTTGTAATCTAGTATATTCCCGTATAGAATCATAGAATCCCAGACTGGTTTGGGTCAGAAGGGATCTTAAAGCTAGTTGCAACCCCCTGCCATGGGCAGAGACACCCTGCAGTAGACCAGGTTGCTCCAAGCCCTGTCCAGCCTGCCCTTAAACACTTCCAGGGATGGGGAGATCTCCATGTGTGTCTGTCCGTAGGTCCTGGTATTGCATTTTTCATGAGCAGGAAAATTAGCCAAGTCCCCCTGTATGCTCGCACACAAAGCCACGTCTTAATGGAGATTTATTCTTTTAATATCCCAAAGGAAGGGGCAATTCCCAGTTAAAGAAACGTAACTGTGTAAATTACTCATGGCAGCGGCATGTTGGAGCTGCTGTTCCCCTGCAGGAGGAGGGGATGGGAAGGGGCAGGAGAGCCCCAGAGCAGGGACCCCAGGAGCACCCCTGGTGCTCTGGCCAGGGCCATCTGTTCCTTACCCCTTGGTGTGAAATGTTTCTCCTTTCCCCTAAAGCATTTGTTCTCACAATGTGAGGCCCTTTTGATCTCAGAAGAGGACATTCTATTAAATAATAATAATAATAATACCAGGAAGATTTCCTTACTTTCAACTCCACTTTGCTGGCTGCTATTAACTCTGCTCCTGAAGCCTATTCACACCGAACTGTGAAGCGGTCCTGGGGTGCCTGTCTGGGGGCAAACCCATTCCCTCTGTGACCTACTGTGGCCAGGTTGTGCTATAGCTGGTCCCTTTGATGCCCTGAAGTGGAGGAGAAGAGGGGAGGAAGCCTTCTGAGTTGCTCCAGACTCGTTTCACGCATTAAAGTGGGGCAACCCCTTTCCCAGCTCTCAGCAAACCCAGAGCAGGATGAGGGCAAGGCGTTTTCATCACAACCCGAGCAAGTCAGAACTGAAACAAGAGCCTGATCCATCTTCTGTGAGTGGCACCAGGGCATCAAGGTTCCCACGCACCTGCTTACTCATTAACATCGCTGAGGGAGCTGATACACCCTAAATCAGGTCAAGCCAGGAGGGGTTCTCATGCCTGCCGAGTTTTCTCAGCATTTGGACATGAAAACATGTTTAGGTGTCACAGTCTGAATCAGGCAAGAGACCTGCAGCTGCTCTCATGCCCTGATGGGGAGGGAGAGCTTGGCCACCAACACCCTTTCCTCATCCCAGGCACCTCCCCTGTGCCAGCAGCATGGTTGGGCTAGGTGCTGGGAGTGGGGCATAGATGTGGTTATTGGGATTATAGATATTTAGAGACAATGAATTTCACTTGTATTTGTATCAAACACACAGTATATTCAATTTGGGGGATTGATGCTGGTCACCTGTGCCTTAGTCTGTGGTCTTGTGTCTGACCCCAGGTCCTGAAAGGGCCACCCTAAGGTGCTGTCCCCTTGCTCACCCTCTGCCCCTGGCTTTCACCAACACAGATATTTCATCACCAATCAGCTTCAGGGTTGCTTTGGCCTCTCAGGCAGGTGAAATGAGGTCTGGGGCAAAGGGCTCTGGTGGAAGGAACAATTGCAGGAGTGAGTGTACAAAATGTTTCCTTGCTCTTCAGAGGCCTCACCTATCCTTTCAGTTTACACTGCTCTGACAGCTCCATTTCAACCCCAGCCTTCACATGGACTCATTCAATATTTACTCAGGCTGATGGGTTTGCTCACAACTTGCCTCCATCAGCCTTGCTCTGTCGGGTTCCCTTCCCCTCGGGCCCCGGTTCACACAAAGTTCAGCCTGGAATGAATTCACCCCAAGATGGGCCCAGCTTGGCCTGAGGACCAGCGCTGGGGTCAAGCCTGGGTCTCTGCACCCCGGCCAGCGCTGGTGCAGGCAGCTCTCAGCACTCCCGGCCGGGAGCCTGCTTTGAACAACTCTTTGGGGTTAAAAATGAAACAGCTTTGGGCCAGGGAAGATGCAACGAAGGCAGGAGCTGCTTTTCAGTGCGGAGAGCGCAGGTCAGCCCTGCGGGGAGGGTGCAGAGTTCCTCTGCGCGAGGTGTGAGAAGGGACAGCTCTACAGCCTCAGTACAGCTGCACCAAGGGGGGAAAGGGGTATAGAAATATATATACACACAAACACACACGTCTGTCTGTGTATGTAAATAAAGATACAGCATTAAACGTATAAATATATAATGAATATCAAAAGTATTTATATAAAGTATAAAATGCACTCATATATTCTATAGATCTGTATAAATCTGTATTTTTATATGTAAATGTATATCCGACACAAGGGATTAAAACCTAAACTAAGTGAAATTCAGACTGATTTCTTTCTGCCTAAAACCACTACAGGGAAGTTGGCTTTAGGTAACAGCGAGCTGAAATCTGCCCCAGCACCAATAACCAAAGTCTTTCCTGCAAGGCTTTTATCAGAGGGGCAAATCCAAATTTGACGCAAAGCAGAAACGTTGCAGATGGGATTATTCCAAACCCCGTGCGTGCTCCCGTGGGAAGGGAAGCAGACAGAACCACGAGACAAATCCAACGCGGCTCCAGAGGAGAGCACAGCAGGGGCGGTGAGGTGCGGGAGGGAGCAGGGGATGGCTGGGAACGGTCCCGAAGACTTGGGATGTGCGGTGGGAGCCGGATCTGCCCCTTTCCGGGGCTCTGGGTCTCTGGTAAAGGCAGGGACCCTTTGCTGCGGGCTTGGCATAAAGCCCGGGCGAGTTCCCAAAGGGTTTGGGGTCAGAGCCAGGGGTAGGAGCTGGTACCCGAGAGCCAGAGGATCCCAGGGAGCGCAGGGTTTGTCCCCAGAGGAGCGGCAGAGCACTCCTGAGAGCAAGGAGGCTGAGGTTTGAGCTCTGAGCTTGCAGCCCTTTCCCGCAGGATCGCAGCACCGTGCGTGGGGAGGCTCCCGAAATCCCACCCGAGGAGGGGGAGCTCCCTTTCAGTGGCCATAAAGATAATGCGGGGAGATGTAACGGGTCTGTTAATGGCCATGCAGCGCCGGCGGTTACCACAGTCCCTGTGGGTTAAACAACCCAGGGAGGTGGGAAAACGCAAGCGTTGTTTTTTTTTTGGGGGGGGGGAACACAAAAAGGGGAGGGGGAGGTTTGGGAATCCCGCACGATTCCCAGGGGCTTTCCAATCATTCTCCCATTCCTACCCCGGCCTCGCCACCTTTCCGCTGGCAGCCCCAGGAAAAGAGCATCGGCAGGAGCGAGGCGCCGCTTCCTTCCACCGGAGAGGCGGCACTGCCAAAACCCGGTAAAAGAGCGATTTCTGCACCAAACCCGAAGTCTCTCTAACTTTTTGCTAGGCGTTCAACGAGTCCCTTATTTTTGCCAAGCTACAAGAGCCAAGGCACCAAGGAAACTCCTTTCCTTAAGGCTTTCCGTCATTAGAGATGAGAGCAGTTTCCCTCAAACAAAAGCCCGGCTCTTAACTTCGGTTACGGTATTAACACAGGCGGAGACACCGACCCCGGGGTTTGTAAGAGCAAAAGACAGGAAAAAAGTGTTTTTTTAACGGCACTTTAAGGAGGTTTCGTTCGGAAGGATTCGCGAGGGGTCACATTCAACCCGGTGAGCGGCAC